TCCTCCCCCTCCTCCTCCTCCTCCTCTTCCTTAGATGTTCTAAACTTCTTCTTTTCTCCTCCTCCTCTTCCTCTTCCTTAGAACAAATGATGTTCTAAACTTCTTCTTCTCTTTCTGTTCTTCTTCTTCCTCCTCCTCCTCCTCCATCTATTAGTCCAACCCCCTGCTCAAACAGGAGACCCTACACCATTTCAGACAAGTAGCTGTCCATTCGCTTCTTAAAAACTTCCAGTGATGGAACTCCTGAAGGCAAGTTGTTCCAGTAGCAGAGCCTTCCAGTTGCCCTACAAATTTTCTCTCCTTTTCTTTTTTGGTAAGTGTAGGTTTCTGCAAAAATGATAAAAACCATGATGCTCGTCTGCGGATTGAAGCTTTACGCCAGCGTGGGTCCTTCCTGAAGACCAACGTGAAGACAGGAGAAGCTTTCTTTGCTATTTACCCCCGCACTAACCAACCTAGAATAAACCTCTTTGCCAGCAAGGACGAAGATTTATACCGTTATAGTGATATTATGGTGCTTCTCCGGGCTGGTGGCAATGACTTGGCCATGCATTGTGGGAGGTTGGCTTACACCGTATCGTTCCATGAGCATCGACCCGGAGCCAAGAGAGAAATACCCATCACGCCACGTCATCTTTCTCCTTTGGTCCCCCGCAAGGAAGATAAGATGCAGGTGGAGGTGGGAAGCTCTTATCTGGCACCTGTACAGTTGCTGGGGGTCCAGCCAGAGAGGACCCCAGGCAGTGCACTTGAACGACCATCTCAGATGTCGCCGACTGCAGAATCCCAGATTCGTGGGGTAAGGCACGTCTCCAAGTATTAGGGTTATTCTGAATTTTATCTTATTTGTTTTTCCTTGGGGTGGGGGTGGGGGAGTGAGAGCAAGTGGGTCAAAGAGGAAGGGGTAGTTTTCATCTCCTTTGGGGGGAGAAAGCTTGGTTGTAAATGGAAGGAAGGAATGCATTGTTGTTCATCTTGGATGAGCAAAGTAGAGTGAATTGGGCCCGGTTAAGAATTTCTAAATGACTGTGCAAATGGCCTTGGGGAGCAGACGGGAGGGCTGAAAAGGGACTGCCGGCATGTAGAAGATGGCTCAGCTCACAGAAAGGGGAAGGCATGGAGAACATTTCAGAAAGGATCTGTCAAGGACCAAGGAAGTTCAAATGTGTATAAAGATTTATTGCAAGCTTAAGCTCTCTATGAGAATCTGAACTACTAATGGTCAAGGGAAATTAGTGGGAGATAAGAAGTCAGTGGAATTCAAGGTGGACTAGATTTAGGTCTCTTGTGGGTGTGAAGGGAGTCAAAACTGATGGTGCATTTGACCACTCCCTCTGGCTCAACCTGGTCATCAGGATCCTCTTCAGTTTTCTGGAGAGTCAAAGAAAAGGAGGGAAGAAATACTTTCGATCTTACACGATTCTGTTCATGTAACCTTAGAATAAAGATAGAAGGGTCCTTGGTGCACTCTGAGCTTGTTTGTTCTCTTGCAGACGTTTCATTACCAAACTAGGCCACATCATCAGTGCTAGTAGGGAATGAGGTTCATATTGGCCCATTTTCCCCAATTCATATAGCGTGAGGAATTCTGGGAGTTGAAGTCCACCCATCTTCAATTTCCCAAGATTAAGAAATATTGCCCCAAGGGATTCAGAGGTGGGATTGTGGCAGCCATTTTATCTTTATGGACTTCCTCAGGCAGATGCCCTTTCTCTCTTCTTAGCACTCACCATACGGCCTGCTGGAGTCCGAGAAAGAAGTCCCGGATGAAGATATCCAAGACTTTTTAGAAGAACAATCCATCTTAGTAGCTTCTTCTTCTTCTTCCTCCTCCTCCTCTTCACTCGCACCAGCTTTGCCAAGAAGGTTATCAAGCGATGCCAGTCTCCACCTGCCTTCTCCAGAAGATAGCCCAAAGCTGGCTTCTTTCTTCGGGTTGCTGGTAGGTCAAAAATCTGCCCAATCAACCATGCAAACACAATATTTGCCTGCTTCTCTTTGTCACCTGTGTCCAGGTTAACTCAACAAGATCCAGAAGCTGCTCCTTCTTGGTTAGAGGGTCAAGGATTTGTTTGTTCGATTCAGCTGTTAATTCAAGGGCAGGTTTAATTTCCTGCACCTTCAAACTTTCCTTGCAGGATTAAGTGAAGGATGCTGTATTTTTCTGGATGTCGCATCACATGTTAATGGCAGAAATGTTTACAAAATGGAAATGTTTCTTACGGCTGGAAAGGAAAATGATCAGAAAGTCATTGCGTGGTTTATTTTTTTCCTTAGGTGGAATAAAAACTCAGAAACAAAAGTCCTATAATGAGTGGCAGAGAAATTCTATGCTTAAGGGTAGGATGGAAAGGTTCTGAAAGATGCAAAGGCATTTGCGTTTTGTTTTATTTTATATTATATGATATTTTATTGCTTTATTTAATGTTAGTTCCTTGAATTCAGATTTACTTGATGGTTTTCATTCTGAAGCTATTCTCAGATAATACATAAGCCGGGTTTATGATCAATAACATCAAATATGAGCAAAGTGGGGAATCATGTCAGCTTTTAACATAGTCTAATTGTTGTCCAAAAGTACAGTTCCATCAACATCTGCCTTGCTTTGACATCTTCTAGATGAGATGACTACAAAACATTCCACTGGCTCCATATTTAAATATTTGCCATTATAGTCTTGTAAGCCGCCTTGAGTCGCCATGTGCGCATAGGAGGCAATAGGAATTTCCTAAAATAAAGCAAATAAATAAATTGATAGACCTTGTAGAAAACAATTTAAAAAATCAAAATGTATTCCTTTATTAGTAAAGATCTCCTTTATATAGCCGTGTTGTAAAACCAGCTGTTACTGCTGTAATTTTAGGATTTATATCTCAATATTGATATCTTCAAAGTTGTCTCTTCTTGTTCGATGTTTTATGGGATCCTTTTGAAAGGGAAATGAGTGAGGAGCCCAGTGAATGGGTGACAAGGGGTTTGGCCTGATGGTGAATTAAAAACATGCCCTTGTTGGGCTTTTGTGAGAGTGACACCGATTGTGAGCTCATTGCTGGATGGCTGAGCATGGACAAAAGGATACACGTGTTTCTTAAAGTCTGCGAATTAGTCTCTTGATGGGATGGTTTCCATATTGGGGCCAAAATCTACATGCCAACTTCTTTTTTTAAAGCCTTTTAATAAGGCCACTTAATTAATTCCAGCATTGTAAATAATTCTCACTCTATCTTTGTCTTCAGCTTCATTGCTCTTTGCTCTTTTTCCAAGCTGGAAAAAGTGTAACTTTTTTTTCTTAAATTAACACCCACTTCCTATGTTTAGAGTAATGTTTTCAGGAGGTGTGAAGTTAGTGATGATGTTCTAAGCTTCTTCTTCTTCTTCTTCTTCTTCTTCTTCTTCTTCTTCTTCTTCT